ATAAAATACTGTGTTTAACACACGGAATAGTCCCCGACTGTAGCAAGTTTTCTTCCTAACCATGGAACAAACCAACAAATGTTAAACAGTGTAAATGAATTTTAAAAAGTAATTGCAGAGAGAAGCTCAGAATCATCTTAGTCTTGTAAATTTAAAAGAAAAAGTTGCTTAAAATACCTCTAAGCAAGTACTCATTTTCAGCCAAGTTCTACTTTTCTGACTCCTCATTCCCACTCAGACAGAAAGGAAATAATGACATTTAAAGAAAAACAAATCTTCATCATCTTGTTTAAACACCACTTCGCATTTCAGCTTTCACACTCTCTATTAGCAAGCCAATGAAAAACAAACCAAAAGACATAAGAGTCAATGTCTGAATTCAGTTTACTTCCAAAAGCATATACACTTGCTTTTTTGTTAATGACCTAGTTTTTACACCAACCTGCTCATTTTTACTTGTAAACTCATTTGAATATCTTTCTATCTGTAAAGTAATTACCCTGTGAGTTTTGCAAGAACATTGGTTTAAATAAATTAAAACCAGACCTTTTTGTTGCAGTTTCCTGAAACATCTTCATATTAACAAGCCTAGAATTAATTTCATGCACTTGGTGTTACTATAAGTATATATCCAAATATATTGTATACAGACAGTGATTTTCAATTTAAGAAAAGAACCCAGCTATCATGTTGTAAGAAGATTCTTACCTCAAGTATGTGTACATGGAACACAATAGTAGCTATCCATATACTTGCATTGTATTTGTATTTCTAAAATAAGAATTAACATAAAATAAACCATCTCTTAAAAAAACCCACAAAACAAAAGACCAAGCCTCTTTGAAACAGCCATCATGAGTGTCATGCAATAAGAATATTTAAGAGTGCAATCAGTTTATTCAAGCAGCAATATTAGGAACATACTTTCTGGTAATACAGAAAGAAGAAAATCTTTAGAGTTCAAACTTGTCTATTTTACATGCCTAGAATTGGATACTGGCACCTAAACCACTGTGTGGATCCACTTTTTAAAGCCTGTTGACATACATGTGCACAAATTGAAACCTACAGGGACTGTGAGCTCATAGTTGCAGTACACAAAGAAAATACTGTCTTGTGAGCAGCATGCTGAGAAATATTTGAAGGCTAAGCAAATCTCACCCAAACTGCAAAAAGATTATACTTCTATCTAATGAGGCATTCATTATTACCTAAGTTTATTAAAAATATTTGCAAGTATATTCCAGTTCCACGGGAGAAGTTCATAGGCTTTAGTGAATTGCTGTAATATTCCTACAACCTGTTTGAACAGGGAGAAAGTTACAGCAAACAAGAAAGTGAATTCATTAAACTCATCCAACATTGAGATACCAGCCTCAGATCTATGTGGGTTACTTAGAAAAATACCATTAATCTTTTTATAATATAATCATATTAAAAACATATCCACACAAAGTGTTCCCATATGGAGCAAATTAACACCTTCATCAACATAAAACTCTCATGAGACTCCACTCGGAGCACTGTGTACAGTTCTGATGTCCTCAACATAACAGGGACATGGACCTGTTGGAGCAAGTCCAGAGGAGGCCATGAGGATGATAGGGAGGCTGAAGCATCTCCCATACGAAGACAGACTGAGAATATCTGGGCTGCTCAGCCTGGAGAAAAGAAGCTGTGTGCAGACCTCATAGCAGCCTTCCAGTATCTGAAGGGGGCCTACAAGGATCCTGGAGAGGGACTCTTTGTTAGGGACTGTTACAATAGGACAAGGGGTGATGGGTTCAAACTTAAACAGGGGAAGTTCAAATGAGATATAAGGAAGAAGTTCTTTACTGTGAGGGTCGTGAGGCACTGGAACAGGTTGCCCAGAGTAGTGATGAATGCTCCATCCCTGGCAGTGGTTAAGGCCAGGCTGGACAGAGCCTTGGGCAACATGGTCTAGGGCGAGGCGTCCCGGCCCATGGCAGGGGGGTTGGAACTAGATGATCTTAAGGTCCTTTCCAACCCAAACCATTCTCTGAAAACCCTTGAAAAGTAAATTATCTACACGTTTTTCTTTCTTAAGAAAGAAAAAGGTTATGCTTGGTGAAACATTCATTGCAATATTGTTTGAGTACCTCCCTTGAAAATCTTCTGAATAGACTTAGAAGTTTAAAACATTAGTTATAAATATTAAAGGGGGGGGAGAGGATAAACAAGAAGCTGAGGAAAAAAATTCTGGCACATCTAACTACAAGCATGAAACACTGGCTCTTTAGAAATATCTGGAAGTTTTGGCTTTTATTTCAAAAGGACTAAGGTTATACTATAAATTAATTGGCTACTTTCCTTCCCCCCACCCCTGCTCCATACAAGACAGTACAGTCCACTGCAAAGCCCAACAGGCAGTCTAGTATTTTTCCCAAGGCACACGGTTTGCATCTTTACTAAAGATTAGTCTCACCTTCATACCGAAAGATTAGTGATGTCCTGTCAGAATTTGTCCTCTTTCTAAACCTGCAATTTTTAAAGAGAAATCAGGTGTAGAACAAGTTTCCTTTTTTACCAGGCTACTTCAGATATACCTCTTACTCCATGTAAGATGAAGAAATAAAAAATTCTTGGGGAGGGAAGAGAAGGGGAGACAGACAGGCATGGTAAGATCTTTTTGGTACAGAATTTTGATTTTGTAAAAACAAACAGATCAACTTAATAAACTGAGATCTACACAGCTTTCTGCAGTGTCTGTAATGCAAATATTACAGAAATGCAATAACTTCTGATCACTGAACCAGAAGTTTGTGCTGATTCAGCTGCTGTGAAACTTGGAGATGCCTACCAACGTACAGAGATGATCCTGTCAAATGTACAGTTATCAAATATATTTTAAAAATATAACCTGATAGTGTCCATTAAAATAAGACATCCAAGTAACCGCTCTGCAGTGTCAATTTTCTAAGTCAACAGTCTTCTGTCAAATGTCATCTTCTGATACTAGCTTATATTCTCATACTGGTTTTGATTTTCTTGTTCTTGGTGATGCTCCACCTTCTGATTTTGCTGCTCCATTGGCAATGTTAGCTGTAATTTTGAATTAAAGTAAACAAACTCAATTTTGCTTCACATGAGAAGGTATAGAAACTAGACCAGGGAAACAAAATACATTAAACACAGGAACAAACACATTTATCTGAATTCTCATCTTAAGAGTTGGGGGACAAGAAGAGTCTACCTTCAAGCAGACTAAAGAAATGACTTGCAGCTTATGACTGCAGTCAAAGTATTGGCTTCAGTGGAACCCAAGCTCTCCTTCAGAGTACCTCTACAATTGTGAGTACTTTTGCAATTACAAATAAGATGAACTGATAAACAATGCACAACATCTTTCCACATATGCTGCCAGAGAGCTATAACACCTGTGCTATTCTTTGTTTTCCTCAATTGAGTCAAACTTCTGCTATTCCAAAGCCTAACTGTCTTGGGAACTTAATTGCAATGAAGTTATTTATCTGCAAAGAAGAAAAGAAAAAAGAAAAAAATCCTCTGCAGGTACATTCAGAACAGAAAGGCTGCTCTGGAATTACAAGGAAAAACCATCTTATGAACACCATTATGGTCGAGAATCTTCCAACTGGTTTCAGCTAATGCTGACTCAGCTAGTAATCCTGGAATGCAAAGAGCTTCAAGCCCTCTTAGTAGAAACTAATACATAAAGATCAACTTCACAGAGAGAGCCAGCCTGTGGTAAATTTCTCAAGAAGTTGCATTTTTCAAAGCTCTACCCAAATCTCAGACGTTATGCCCAATTTTTCGTAATGCTATCCAGGGGTTTATATATATGCTAACAAGAATATGAAATTTCAGTTTACCAAATCTTCACAAGTCCCATTTAACTAATTTAATTGATATAACATTGGAATTCAGAAATTATACTTCATTCAATTAAAAGCCTTTCTCCATTAGTTCTCCTTCGCCAGACACTATGATGTTCCTCAAGTTCTTTTTCAGTGGGTTTGATGTTCTTTACATGATGTGTCTTTATAGAGAAGAACTAACTTAATTTTAATGGTGTGAAACATAATACAAGCAGAATTTATGAAATACAGAAGCGATTTCAGATACTTTTTTTACCCCCGGTGTTAAATCCAAAAAGTTATTAGTGCCATTGTAAAAGACTGATTTAAAAAGGAAAGAAAACCCTGGAATCATTTAGCCCAGTTTCATTAAATACTCCTTGCATTTTGATTAACATAGAGTTCAGTGAATAATCCTGAACAGTACCCAGGATTAACACTTACTGCAACTCGCTCTCTGTGTGCTGTCCTCTCAGCAATATGGAATTAGAGAAGAACATGCCCTAACATTTGAAGAGACTTCAAATATTACCTATATTAGATATATCACCTATATCATCTGCATGTTAAAAAACAGATATTTTTGCTGTTTTATAGAAAGGAAAGATGTAAGATGATACATCTGGTATGAAAGCATTTGGCCTAGAAACAATTTAAAAAAGATTTTACACCACTGACCTTTGTCTGGTTCCTTCTTTGTTCGTTTGTTCTTTGTGTTAGTTGTTTTTTTCTTTGAAATCTGGTCCTTAACACGCTCTCTCCATCTCTTCAGCTGAAAACGTACAAACTTCCGCATCATCCAAGCCTGTGTTAGACAAACAGCACCCAGGCAGCCAAGCCTAGTAAGATTTGAGATTTTGGAGACAGACAGATGAAAGTTTCAGTTAACCGTTAATAGACTGTGAATCTGTACTTAATTTTTCTCCAAAAGTCTACTATCGAAACAATTAAAATCTTCATACCACAGGAAACCAGATGTATCAGAAGGCTTTACCCAAGACAAGATGCATCACGCAAGAAGTGAATGGAAACTGTATGCAAGTATATTGCTAGAAGCAATTGGGTTTATTAAGGAGTTACAGACATAGCTTTCAATGGCTGACAGGAAATTGTGGCATTGAGGCCCCTTCTGCCAAGCAATCTATGAATAAGAAATCATGTAGATTGAAAATCCCTCCCACACATTTGATTACAGGCATTAAGTTATAAGAGAGAATGTTGAAGTGATGAGCTTATGCTGAAAATGTAATAAAACTTTTAAATTAACAATCAAGACTAAAATATGCACAAAAATATTTTAGGAAGGCACCAAACAAGTAATTAGTTAAAAAACTATGGGTATTAATATCACCAAATGATACCATGTCCGGTACAGACATTGAGAGGGGAGGGCTGGGGCAGGGGGATGTTTAAAGAGATGATATCCCAGGAAGTTTATTTTTAATTTTTTTCCTTTCCCTCCCTTCTCCTCCCTCCTTCCCCCCCACAAAGAATTCTGTTCTACTACTTTTGTGAAAAGAAGATAGAAAAAGAGAACAAAATTTCTCTTTCCTTAAATACTCAAGAGGAAAACATCGCCCAGGGAAATTCTTCTGAACACATTATCCTCCTGGATTGTTTCATAAAAAGATTCTTTGAAATGCTCCATTATACACACATGAATGTCTATTAGCCTTGGTATACCTCACAGGGAGTATGTTGAAGTTTCCGTCTGCTATGGAAAAATCTGGATTCTCTGCTCTTGCCAGACCAAATCCAAATGTGAGGACAGACAAAGTTAGGGTCAAAAGACGCACCATTACGAAAAGTAAAGCCCAAATGATAAATCTGAAAACAAAACAATGAAATTAATGTGTTTTCTCCTTTTTGTCCATTTCCTTTCAATGAAGTCAAATGTATGAAGAAATTTTCATTACAGTTTTCTTAGCAACAATAGAGAAACAGGTCTGTAGTTTCCAGGGTCATCCTTCCTGCCCTTTTTATAGAGGAGCATCACATTGGCCAACCTCCAATCCTCAGGGACTTGCCCACTAGACGAGGACTGCTGATAGATGGAGAGTGGCTTAGCGAGCTCCTCTGCCAGTTCTTTCAGCGCTCTTGGGTGCAACCCATATGGCCCTATAGACTTGTGTACATCTTAGTGGAGCAAGAGGTCTCTATTTCTTCCAGAATTATATGGACTTCAATCAGTTTCTCATCTCTGCCATCCAACTCAGGGAACTGAGTAGCCTGAGGATGGCTGCTGTGACTATTAAAGACTGAGGCAAAGGCAGCATTAAGTACCTCTGCCTTTTCCTCATCCTCAGTCTCTAGGTTTCCCCCTGTATCCAGCAGAAGACAGAGGTTCTCCTTGGCCCTCCTTTTATAGCTAATATATTGGTAAAAGAACTTTTTATGATCTTTAATGGCAGTGACCAGATTTAGTTCCATCTGTGCCTTCGCCTTTCTAACTTTCTCTCTACATAACCTAACAACATTCTTGCAATTTTCATGGAATGACACAGTTCCTTCTTCCACAGGTGATAAATTCTCTTCTTCTTCCCTGAGTTCCAGCACTGTCTCCCTGTTCAGCCAGGCTAGTCTCTTCCCTGCTGGTTTGAATTTTGGCACATAGGGACTGCCTGCTCCTGCGCCTTTAGTCCAAGCCTTCCTTGACCCCTTTGTCTTTCAGTGATGTTTCCCCAGGAATTCTGCCAACCAGCATCCTAAACAGGCCAAAGTCAGCCCTCTGGAAGCCTAAGGTAGAGGTTTTGCCGACCTTTATTTCGTGATCACTTTGCCCAAGATGGCCTCCAACCTTCACATCACCTACCAGACCTTCTCTGTTTGCGAACAGCAAATCTAGCCAGGCATCTCTCTTAGTTGGCTCACTAACCAGCTGGGTTAGGAACTTATGTTCCACACCCTCCAAGAACCTCCAGGATTGTTTCTTCTTTGCTGTATTGTACTTCCAGTAGACATCTGGAAGGTTTAAGTTCCCCACGAGAACAAGGGCAAAAGACCATGAATCTTCTCCCAGTTATTTGAAGAACACTTCATCTGTAGCTTCATCCTGGCTAGGTGGTCTATAACAGACTCCTACCGGGATATCTGCTTGGCTTGTCTTCCCCCTGATCTTCACTCACAAACATTCAGCCTTCTCACTCACAACATTGAGTTCAAGGCAGTTGATGCATTCCCTGACATACAATGCAACCCCATCACCTCTTTTTCCTTGCCTGCGCCTTCCGAAGGGTCTGTAGCCATTCACTGCAGCACTCAATCATGTGAATTGTTCCACCAAGTTTCTGTGATGGTGATTATGTCACAATTTCCCTGCTGCAACTACATCAACTACATGTTTTTGAGACGTTATCTTCTCTGTTGTATAGTTCTTTCCCTTTCTCACCTTATCAAAAGCAGAACCACCTGCAAGAACTTAGAGGGAATGCTGCTTTTATAACTTCTTTGACTAACTATTTTTAAGAACAAGTGTCCCTACATACAAACATTTACGAACATTTAAGCAAACATGGAAATGACAGGATTAGAAACCAAAACAAAGATATCTGAAATGGTACTTGAGTAAAAACTGCTGCTGCTGAGTGTATTTGCTTCCTTGACTCTATGTAATGACAGTGACTTGCTTGTGAATTCAAAGCAGGTAATAATGGACATTGAACAAGTGGTGATTGCTGCCTGAGTACTTTCACATACATGCAAATCCATTTCTACACAATTAGTAAGCAACGTTCTGAATTTTAATTAATCATATGCAAGATTTACCCTTTTTGCGTGTTTTCATCACAGAAGTGGAAGAGACGTGAGGCATGAAAAATGAGTTCCACCAAATAGTGAGGTACCACCAGAATTAGCCCCAAATGCTGCAAACTATAAAACAGAAAAGTTAGAAATATTAATGAAATTATGAAGAAAATAGATCTGTCTATTCAAAACAAACATGCAGATACTTACTTTAATATATAGGCACCAGAGATATGAGTAATGTAAAGGCAAATATAACATAGCTGCCTTGGAATATCTTCCTAAAATTAGAGAAATTATAATAAATGCTGTTACAGTTTAACTATATTTTACAAAGAAAAATCTTATCATTCAGTAGGTTTGATTATTTTTTTCCACACTACTGTATAAACTTCTCAAAAAAGTATCTGAATCAAAAACTACAGACCACCTAGACTATATTTAGGTAACTGAATACACATACCACAGAATAGTTTGGGTTGGAAGGGACCTTAAAATTCTTCTAGTTCCACACCCCTACCATGGGCAGTGACACCTTCCGCTAGACCAGGTTGCTCCAGGGCCCGTCCAACCCGGCCTTGAACACTGCCAGGGACAGGGCAACCTCTGCCTGTACCTCACCACCCTCACAGTAAAAATATAAATATGTAGATGTTTATATAGTTAATATAAACAAAACTATTAATACAAATAATTGGAAAGAATAGATATTTAGTTAACTGTACTGACAACTTCTCTCCATACCTTTTGGATCTTTTGGAAGTATAGCTCCGGCAGTGCATGAAGCCAATAGGCTATCTGGCAAATATAGAAGAATTTTTCCTGAACACTAACAAAAATTCAGGTTAAGAAAACACCAGATGATGAGTTTTCAAGCTTTCAACATGAGATACAAGATTTTATTTAATTATCTTAAATTAATTCAGTCTGACTCATTATAGTTTATGATTTCTAAATCACAGTAACCACAAATACAAAACAACTCTGGTGACAGTTTTTTGAAACAGCATCCATTAACCTTCGTGATAGCATGTTCTGAGTCACCTTTTGACACAGTAGGAAATAAAAAACACCAAAAAAACTAACACACAGACACAGTTAATCCACTGAGCAGTGGAACTCCCTAAAAAATGCATATTAACCCTCTTTCCTCTGTCGCACTCACTGGAGAAAAACGGAGCTGGGGGGGGGGGCGCGACAAACAACGCAGTTTTGTAAGCCATGTTACTTAAAAATAAATACCCCTCCCCAAACTACCTTTGGATAAACCAGCACTTTTCAAACAGAACAAAACACTTTCATTGAGTTGTCATTTTTATAAGGTACTAATGCCACTGCCTTATTAGTGGTTCCCTAAAATTTGGGGTGGTTAAGTATTTAGTTATTAGAATAACCACAGCTTGTTCAAATAGAAAATAGAACACTTACAGCATACGAGAAAAGGGATAATCTTTCCAGAACGAAGTTAGGTTCATTTTGAATTCTTCCTAAAGGAAAAGGCCATTGATTTAAAGACTTTCTTAATATTTTAAGCCTATTTTTTTAATAGAAGCATCAAATAGAGTGACTTACTGCATTCAAAATACTTGCTCCCCATATAAATGAAAACAAGTAGAACAATGCAAGCTGTCCTGATTCATTGAATTTGCTCTGCTCTGGTTTTGACAGCTGCAGATGTCTATTAATTTTCTGCAAATGAAAAGTTGATCAGTAAATGTAATTTCTAAACCACAAAAGCTATTTGGGAGTTAGTGCTCACTCCTGATTCCTCATTCTGATCTTCCATTCCTCAATCAAAATACACAGCTCCCACCATTTAAGACTTTGATCAGGACTTTGTATGCCAATTAGCTTCAATAAGACTTGCCACTCTGGTAAAGTTCACATGGAAAATCAGATAACATATTAAGACTAATTTTTTTCACCCATAATCAGTCACATTGCTTCATTTTTCCAGTCTTTTTTCACATTTAAAAACCAGCTGAGCATCTGTGGCACAGATGATCTATTTGCAAAGACATTCTAAGACCATTCAATAATAGATGGTCTTCACAATAACTTTAACAAATTCATCTTGCTTCCCAACTGAGTTGGTATAAAAGAGCACATGTTGAAGTCCGAGCTCCCTCTTTGAGGCAAAGCTCAGCTGGCAAAAAGAAATCCACCACTGCAGTAACTTTCAGTTTTGATTGTTCTTATACATCTTACAAATCTAACACAGACCTCATTCATAGGTATCTTGAGTACACCATGAACATTTAATGTCTGGGTTTACAGAAAAATGTAAGTTACATTGATGGAAAGTAAAATTTAGTGGTTTATACCATTAATAAATTGAAAAAATATCACTTTTAAAATATCACAGAATCATTTAGGTTGGAAAAGACCCTTAAGATCACCGAGTCCAGCCATTAACCTAACACTATCAGGTCCAAGTCCACCACCAAACCAAGGTCTAGTTGCATTTTTGTCAAAGGACAAAAGGATTGATCATAACAGGGCTTCTAAATGCTAAACCATTTGTGTACCATGGCTTACACAAACCTGAAGAAAAACTCTTAGCAACTGATGGCTAAAAATAACATGATTATAAAAGTAAATGATAGCCCAGTAATAAACTTACATCTAATATGCACTCCTGGATTATAGTATGCACTTTAATAGCTACAAGCATGTAGAAGCTGATTGTGGCAATGTCTTTGGGACCATAGTCGTAAAAATCAAACTGCTCACTGTTGTCATCTGAAAAAAACAAAAAGTAAACCAAAAAGTGTGTAATTTTACATTCTTCTGAGGGAGTATACTGTGCAACTGGCAAAGGGCAGCAGTGACCACTGTTCTTGGAAGTTATAACTAGTGTCCTGTATCCATTTAACACAAGTTTTACATTTTGGAAAATTACTTTCTATGCCAAGTTAGATAACTTGGAACTTCTTTTCCTTCAATACAATAATACCATTATAAGCCTAGAGCAAACTACTGAGAGCACTATACACTGATCTGTTGCTTTAATCCATTTCTTTCATTCTAGGCCATTAAAAAAACAAAACAACAACAACAAAAAAAAAACCAACAAACCCCACATCACACCCCACCACGCTGTCCTCTATAATTTGGTAGAGACCAAATGAGATTCCATCTTAAGAAGCATGACTATATATAGGAAAAAAGAAGCTATATAGTGAGGATAGTATCCCTAGTAGTTTGGCACATTGGTAAGTAATAAATGCCCCAGAAGTAGTAAGAAGTTCTCATAAAATAAAAAAAAAAAAAACAAAAAAAAAAAAAAAAAAGGGAAAGGGGAAGGGAAGGGAAAGGGAAAGGGAAAGGGAAAGGGAAAGGGAAAGGGAAAGGGAAAGGGAAAGGGAAAGGGAAAGGGAAAGGGAAAGGGAAAGGGAAAGGGAAAGGGAAAGGGAAAGGGAAAGGGAAAGGGAAAGGGAAAGGGAAAGGGAAAGGGAAAGGGAAAACAACATTCACACGTATTACAAAAATATGAGAGATGTTCCTATTTACTGTTTCTAAGTGTGGGAGAATTTACAAATGAAGTTCAATTAAATTTTAAAAGCATGTACCAGGAGCAATAAACCTAAGGAAGCCTTATTTTGTAGGGTTGTCTCTCCTTTGGCCCACAAACATCCATTACAACCACCTCCCTTTTCTTTACACATCTGAGACACTGCAGTTGAAAAGAAAGAACTTGGACTACAACTAATCAAGAGTCATTCTCAACCTGATTTACAGGCTGCATGTCTAACATTTCCATCATTGAGTTTTCCCTTGAAAGGGCATTAATTTGGATGTCTCTTATCTATACAGCCACTTCTCATAAACAGCAAGGAATTTTGTTATCTTTAAGACCTTCACCCTTTGTCAAACTATGTTTGTCTTGTTCAAAAGCCAAACTGCAGAAATACAGACTTCAAATTATTCTAAATTTTTTTTCTTTAAAGGAAACTCGGCCAGAAGGTGTCAAGAAAGCAATTGCTGCTTCCTCTAACATGAATAGTACATTAAGGTCCTGATGCACAGGACATTCATAGGACTCCAAGTGTCAGATATCCTATTTCTACATTTGAAAGTTGCTTGTGGTATAATCAATGAACAAGTAATTGCATAGCAAATGCTATTGCTGCCTGGTCCCTACCACTGCTTTTCAAAATGGACCTTTACTAGCAATATATTCATTGTTTTCAGAGAGTCCATGCTGAGACCTCAAAATTGCTTGTGCAGAACTCCACATCTCCTAATAAAACTAAGGGACGTGATACATTGTTCATTCCATTGTAGGTATGTACGTATACACATATATACACACACACGTATGCACCAAACACTATGAAGAAGTCACATTGCAGCATCTTGGTAACCAACACATGGATTTGACTTTTGTCTCCTCTATTTTATTTCTACTTGATGCTGCTCAAATGTCAGTAAAACTGACTGGGTCCATCTCAAGTGTTCAACATGAAATATCTTGGGAAACATTTGCAAAAAAGGATAGATAGTCATTCCTGCAAGCAAAGTTGATCAATGCATTATTTTGAACATACTGAATGCAGTTAGAGTACTACATTATTTGGAAGAGCCACAGCACAGAGGTCTCAAATTTGGAAGCCAAGATTAGAACAAAAGTCATACATTTTACTAATTTTTGGGGGAAAAAAACCCCAAAACTGCCTCCCATTGTTATTTATTGAAGCAGGAACATTAGTTACTTGAGAATAATAATGTGATTTTTTTTAAATATAAACCACAAAATCCATTCCTAATGACACAAGAAATCATGAATAAACAACAAATATATAGAAAAGTACAGAAATATTCTGTTACTTGGTAACTCCTGTTGATTGTACCAAAAACTGGAAAGAATGCATGCTTTTTGCATGGTTTTCATATCAAATTTACATCAAAATGCATGTTAGTAGCAGTGTTAGCTATGGGAAAAATAACCCACTTATTCATAAGCAACAGAATGTATCAGAATGTATCAGTGAATACAGTATTAGTAAATCCAAAATTAGACAGACAAACATGAGAGAAATACTATATTATAGAAGTGAACTGAATTCTTGCATTAAAAAAAATAGATTTGATTAATCTCACCAAGGGTATAGGTGACATTGTACTGCACAGCAACAAACATGATGGCATACTTGGATGGGACCTGAAATTCAAAGAGAAACAGGGGAAAAGTATCAGTTTTTTCAACGAGCTAGACTATAAACACCCAAAACTAGAAGATTATGACATCAACTCCATCAGAATGTTCTTCTATACATGATTTCAATCAAAGATGTCCCAAAAGTGTTATTGATCTCCACAATATTTTGCCTTGTTGCAAAACCTTTACCATTTACTGCATAGGGTCAGGCCTTGAATTATGTCCCTTTAGCTGAGGATCAAATTACTCTTTTACTAACCAACATTTTAAAGCGTTTAGAAGTGTAAATGGCTTTCATCTATTTCAAAAGTTAAAAACCTCAAATTAAATCAGATGGAAAGTTTCACCTAACTTTGCAAGATAGTAAAAAGCAATGCTCTGGCTAAGTGTCCTGTAAATAAATAGTGAATTCAAAACATCAGAGTAGAATTATAAGATTAATCAATTTCTTGTATGATAAATCAAACATTTTCTAAAAATTACAGTACAAAGTAACCAATGTTATACTTTCATGTTACTTTTTCTCCAATGGCAAAGCTAGCAAAAAAAACAACCAACCAACCAACCAATCAAAAAACCCTAAATATCCCAACACTTTCAGCCATTCCTACCTCTTCAAAATATTTTCCCATTCCCATGCTGCAGTATATTTAGCCCTGAGCTGTAACAATGGAACTGTATATAGAGTAGATTTCTGTATGACCCTACAACTGAGAAATAAGAAGTAAATGTGTCCGCTTGGTTTAGTTAAAAACATTACATTATCTGGTTTGCACGACTTTAAAAACAAACAGTTGTGCTAATATAGCCAAAAGAGTCATAAGCTTTAACACAAGGATATAAGTGGAAGATTAAAAAAAAAACCCAACAAACAATCAACCAAACAAGAAGACCTATCCCTGGTTCCTTTGCTGCAAAAAAGGAAAAAAGGCAATACATCCTACACTGCCAGTAGCAAATGCATTTATTATTTTTGTAAGCACTCAGTTATCTAGATCATGAATCAGAGAAGTACAACAGGCATAATCTGAAAACTGGTGAAAAAAATACATTGTTGAGGGTTCTTTTAGAGTTTCAGTTCAGCTGATCTTCATAGATATGACTTAAAACAGAGAAATAGAAACTGAAACCAGAAAGCTGTTTTCGTCAGACATTACATCATCTGAAAGTGTAATTAAGAACATTCATGTATATAAAACAAGCACTAATTTACCCAGCTATGAAGTAAGCAAGAGGCACAACAATGCAAAATAAGATCAGTAGCAAAAAAAGGGAGGAAAAGGCAAATTGCTTCAGTACACTGGGAGGGCACCTGTGAAATTAAGCAGTAGAGGAGTCATAAGACTGCAGAGTTCTTTTAAGAGGAAGCCTTATTAAGGAAAACGAAAGTACTGAATTTGCTGGCATACAAAATTGACTTTCAGACACTGCAGTTCTATGAACAATCTAACCTTTTGTAAGCCAGCACTACCATCAAAAGGAGCAATTCTGCCTTTCTCTTTACTGCCAGTTGCTTCTTGTCTCTGTCCCACACTTGTGTGATCAAAAGTAGTGGTGTGGTGAATTGGACAGGAAAGTTATACAAGTTAAAACCGACCCAGCAACACAGGAGGGAGCAAAAACCCCTATTAAGCTGAACACATAAATTTCCTAATATGCTGCACATAAGTTACATATGGGTTTTGAGATAACCAGATGTAACTTGTGCTATGCTTCTATTGTGCTTGTTTGAATATATACTATTATACTTCTTATTGTGTAATTTAAACAACTGCATCTTTTTGATGCAGAAATTATTTTGATTGAGACACCTCCCATTTATTATGAGAGAAACAGTGGTGCTGCTACAGGTTAGACCTCTGTATTGCAGCTCTGCCCATTCACTGCAGAAAAGCAGGCATACAGGAAAGCAGGAGAGAGGCTTTTGACAAGGGCACGTAGGGACAGGACAAGGGAGAATGGCTTTAAATTGACAGATAATTTTTTCCCCCCAATTGATGCTGAAATATTTCAGTGAAGTATTTAAGCTGCTTATCCAGAATTTAAACTCTATTTACCATGCCTTATTCTATACTCAACACCATCATAAAATATTCACATAGCAGCACACACACAGATTTTGTCCCAAAAGTGGGAAAAAGAGGCCTAAAAGAGGTGCCTAATCCATCACCCCAGAAACTAATAAGCAGATTGCACACGGAAATAAACCTGACAGTAACTTTTAAGTACACAGACAAAGAATTCAGAAGTTCATCTGAGACTGTCTAATCCCATATTTTTCTTCAGATTATCCACCACTAGGGAGCTGAGTGAATGGCAGAAATAGACACAGTAGTGCAGAATGGTGAGCAGCAGTTTTTAACTACCATCTGGTTAAGCATGTTCAGAACAAGAGTGTGGCTGAAACCCTCTTTATGACAATGTTCCTAACTGCTTTACCATGTGGACTTTTGAACAGAGTGAGGGAAAATGTAAACAGACACAGCAAAGAGACATAAAAAGACTCTAAGTAAGAAGGCTTGAAGAACTTTATAACTCACAAGACTGTAACTGAGTACAAGGGAGCTTATAGGAGGGTGCTAGGAATGAAACATATGCAGAGATGAAGGGAAACTGGACGACAAAAGAGCAGCAATCTGACAGAAGAGGGTAGCAGTGCGGGGTGCATAGTGAGAGCAGGAGCTGGCAAAGACAAGTCAGTAGACAAGACACTGGCAGGATGCGAGCTGAGCAGAGAAGTGAAACTTGCTGCACAGACAAGACACGCAGAGGAAGATGCCCGAGCAGGGTGTCATAGTGTGAGGCATCGGGTAGAGAAGAAATAGGGACATAACCCGGTAGAGAAGAAGGCAAAAGGCAGCCGGAACCAAAGAAGATGTGACAGAGCCGCTTGCAGCGAGATTGAGGGATGTTCAGCGGGGCTCCCGAGCGGAAAGCCAAGAGCACCGCGGTACCCCACAGCAGGACCAGGGGCTGTGCTGCTCGGCCACCACCAGCCCCCTCACCCCCTCCGGTACCTCAAACAAGAACCACATCAGGATGGCCATCACAGCGAAGTCCACGATATCCAGATAGCCCCGAATGATAAAGTCATAGTTTATCACGGCCGGGGTCCTGTATCTCCTGCGGAACCTCATAACAGTGACAAGCAAACCCACCCCAACAACCACCACCTCACACGCAGTAAAACACCGCCTGTCCAAAGGGCCCACCCGCTTCCGAGTTCCGACCAATCAACCTTAAAACTGCTTATGATTGGCAGGTCCTGGCAACAAATAGTGAAGAGCGGGTTCTAAGGAGGCGGCGCTTCGGATGCCGCGGGCGGTGCTTCGGAGCGCCGTGGGGGGGGTTTAGCCCGGGTCCGGTGTGGGTCACAGGGGCCCCTGCCAATCCCACATGCGAGCCCGCGGGGCTCCCCTGGAAGGCGGCCGCGGACACCAGTGGGTGGAGATTGGCTCCTATGGGAGGCGGGCTCCGTGGAGGTGGGGTGAGCGCTTTGTGGTTCTCTACGGTCCACCCCGGCGTGGCCTCTGTGGAGGCCGTGCTCGCCGCAGCTCCCGTGGCGGCCAGGTAGCTCTGTTCTCCGAAAGCCCTGCGAGGCACGTTGGTCGGTCTGCTCTCCTCACGAGTCCCAGGAGTGCGGCCCGCCTGGGTGGTGGGAAGTGGCTCCTCATCACCCCCCCTCTGGAGCTCTGCCGCGCTCCCGCACTTGCGGCTAGACACAGCTGTTGAAAAACTGTCTTTTTTAATTTCCTCTCCATTAAAATGGGAGAAAGGGGATTCAGAGCTTTGAAGTCCTAAAAATGTGTACACTTGGCTATCTAGCTGGAATTTAGGTGGGAAAGCCATACCAAGTTATCCAAAGGGCATCCAGAGGGCAGCGCTGGAAGAGGAAATAAAACTTAGGTCCCATGTGGCAGCCCGGTGTCTCCCCTGCTGTGCTGAGCGTGGCCTCAGCTGAGGCCAATGAAGAGAGGGCAAATAGGACCTAAATTCAGTTCAGCTGTGAAGTAGTTTTGCTTCCTATTGATTATTTAAATAGGTAATGCTCACTGAAACTCTTTTTTAGTATTCCTGAATTTGCTTTGTTAAACGTTCTGCTTAGTTGTTGAGTTTTGCTGTGCTCGTACTCCTCTTCCCAGCCTTACTTTGAGTTTCAGGCTGACGTATTCAGAAACTGGACTTTGCATTTTAAATTAAGAGTTGCTACAGAGCACAGGTGCTATTTGGGACATTCATTTGGGAAGCAACTGCCATGCATGTGCTTTTTCTCAGCTGAAAAGAGGAATTAAAAACAAAATACTTGTAGCAAGTTGTTTACAAGTCATGGCTGATTTATTAGAAAGAAACAGTATAATTGAAAGTATTTCGTAAGTGTTTAGCATACTTGCTGCTTCCTTTCTTTTTCTAAAGCTACAAAAATAATGCTGAGAATTAACTGTGATTCCAACCAGTTTCATTTCTTCTTGGAACACATCAGAGACAGGGGTGAGGAATGCTGAATAGGAATGGGAAACAAGAAATAGGAACTTGTAGTTTAATTTTGGAACCCAGAATATACTAATTTGATACAATTTATGCCATTCTTTTAACTATATCAGAGTAAGCAAGCTCATTTAGATTTTTATTGGCTGGCAGTATGGTTTTCTAGAAGATACCTAGTGTAAGGGCTTAAAGAATGTCATTTAAGCTCTAAGTCCCAGGTATAAAGACCCAGAGGGGTTTTTTATCTCTTTGGTTGCAGTGTTTCTCTGTTACATGTGGGCCCATTTAACATACAGCCCACCATGTTATTTCCATTGCCCTATCCTTTAATCAAATAAGCTTAACAAATGTTGCTATTCTTATTTTCATAGTTGCTTTTTCTAGTAAAAAAAAAAGTAATCAAAACAAAAAAAAACCCATAGCCTTTAGTTAAAACACGATTTCCCCTTTTCAATTGGTTTGTCATTTTATTTATTTAGTCAAGGAATTAAACAGAAAATTAGAAAGTTATGTCCCACCAGCCACCTAGGTTGAAAACAACTGCATAGGCTTCAATAGTTAGTCTGCTATTAAGTTTTATTGATTTGTTGTTCTTCTATACAGAAAGCAAAATGAAATTAATGTTTTTTGCAGAGTTGTAGAAATCAACTGGAGATCTGCTTGATCGCACGGAAGTAGCTAAGAATGACTCCTTTATTTCGTACTTCATTTAAACAAGAAGACCTAATTCAGAGAAGAAAACAGATCCAGTTATTGGCATGGGGTGAGTAAACCCAGTTTAAAAATCACAAGGCAAATACATTCAAATTCACTGTATGATTTCTTTTGTGTGTTAAAAGACCATCCAAGATTGGGATTTTTTATTTATTCACTTTTTATTATTTTATTGGGCATTGCTTAAATACAAGATAGCATAGAGACTAATGGAATTTAGGATCAAGTAGACAACATAGATTCACTGTGGGGAAGGATGGTACCCTGTAAACTGTGCAATGCTATCAAAACACTGTGTTGTTTTGGGACTTCGAGATGGGGGAGGAGAAATAACTTAGGAAAGGGTAATCTGGGAAAACAGATGAGAAGAGGGACCTGTGTAAAGCATTGAAGAAGTCAGACTGGGGCAAACATCCATTGGAGTGGTGGAGTTTATTCTCTTCATGCTAACCATTTTGCCTGCGCAGAATCTTCCTAAAGCTCGTTGAGTTTTGTTTATGGGGCATAAAGGGTTCTACTATAATTCAAGAAGGATAATGACAGATATGAAGTAAAACAAAGTGCAAGAGTCATATATCAGATGTTTTCACTTTTCTGTACCTAAAAGCAAAACTTAAATGCAACAGATTCAATAACTGGCATTTAATGACAACCATATAAGACCCAGTAGCAGTTTGTTTTGATATATGTTAAAAAAAAGAACCAAAACACAACACACACGCTCCCAACAACATCTAATTAAACAGTATTATCTGAGATTAAAATTACAAGAGCCTATTAAGCATTGCCCATTTGGGAATAAAGGAATTACAAAAGGAACTAAGAAGAGGGGTATTCTGTCACACTATGGCTTTTCATACCAAGAAATAGTTTGGGCTTTCCTTTAAAGTATATGTTCCAGTCACTTTTGCAGACAGGACTCTAGACGAATGATTGATATGTTTCTGGATGGTATTTCTTGCTTCTCTTTCCTCTTCATAAACCACTACAAAGAGGCTTCTGTTTTGTAAGAATTAAAACTAGGGACTTAGCCTTTGTGTAAATGTGTTCCCAGTTTTACAAAAATGGAACTGTGCAGAAAGAGGATAACATTTGTAGCATCAACTATAAAATACTGAGTTCTGAAGCTTCTGTGCTGCAGTTTGAGAACCATCTGCCTATTTCTTGATACTCTACTATCTCTGAAAAAAAGAAAACTGTGTTAAGAATGTACAGAGTAGGTCATATAATTGGGACTGGGAGGTGAAGCAAGTGTGGATTTGTGCCTGTGCCATACAATTAATATCAGAAAGCAATTAAACAATTAAACAGCAGTTGAAATTTTACTGTAATATGTAATTGAATGGTAACTGTAGAGCCATAGGAAAGGAACAGGTACTATATTTTAGGTAGTATGTAAGAATGAAAAGCTGTCTTGCTGTTCTGTGAAAAACAAAAGTAGAAATGCAGTTTGATGTCTGCATCTGGTAATCAATTATTGGCTATTATGTAATGCAGTGCAATTTCTGTGGGACTGATTGCAATTTTTATTTAGAGTCTATTAAGCAAATAAATCTTCTACTTGCAGAGCAGGTGGAACAACTGCTGCATACATTAAACCAGTAGTCCATTCTTAAGAGATCACATATTGAATATAAGCTCCTTCATCCATATGGTTTTATGAAACCTTTTTTTCATTCTGAGACTGGTTCCTCCTTTCAGACTGAAAATATGGTATCACTTTTTTGTTTTGAAGTGTGTCTACTAGGTGAAGAAGTGATTACAAACTAGTTTGCAAGATTAAATTTAATATTGTTATAGTAATATGTGCTTTTTCTACAGCTTGGATCATGATAATAAATTAGTGACAGGTTTTCAGGCTCTTACATTTTTAGCCATGCCTGGGCCATATTTAATTCTGAACAAAACTATTTTAGGGAAAATTTAAACTAAAATACCCTCTTAAAACATTTCCATAAAACACTTCACATTTGCATTTTATTTTGTAGAAGTATTTATTGTCATTGGTATGTGTCTATCCTCATAATAACCATTTCCTTTTCCTCCCTGAGGGGTTAATAATATAGCAGTAAAACAAATAAAAAATTGCACTTTTTACTTGTTTTCCCAATTTTTGAATGCCTGGCTAATAGTGCAAGAATAAGCATAGTATCTTCAAATGTAGGATATATACCTGGACACAGAGCAAGTTGAGAGTCTGGAATGTTACTGATACGATACATGGAGACTGCACAATGATCTAATAACTGATATTAGTTTGTGAATAACTTCTTTTCTCTACATGTTTCCCTCCCAGATGAAGTGCATACTTTATTGTATAACTGAATAACTATTGTATTACTAAATTACTGAATAATCGTTTTGCTGCATAACTAAAAGTGCCACCAAAATAAAAATAAGAATGAAAGCACAGGTTAGAACTGTTATTTCACTTCATAACTAGAAAAACCCTGAATGTTCCAGGCTTACTTTACCTAAACTTTAAGATTGAATTAGTAGGCAAACAAAAATATATCCGGTTTTGCAGATCAGAGAAACATTCAGGCTGAAGGGGGTCTCAGGAAGTCTCTAGGCCAACCTTCTACTCAAATCATGATCAACTTATAAGGTTGGTTAGACCAGGTTGCTCATGACTTTATCCAGCCTGGTCTTTGAAAAACTGCAATGCAATCTGATCTACACCAAAAAAAAGATGCTAAGCTAGCCATGATGTTCAGCCAGGCCTTTAGAAATCTACTATAACAAGAACAATGAGCTGTGACCATTCATTACTAGTCACCTCTGTTTACTTTTGCCAGACTGAAGATTCTGAAAGCCTGTGGGACTTTTAAGAGGAATAAACCGGTACAAACATGCTACTTTGTATTAAGACCTAAATTGAAACCCTGGCAATAAAATCTCTGTGTCACAAACAAGTACAGTCTAACCTGGTTTGTGA